ACCGTAGACTTTACGAAACGATTCTTCTCTAGGGAGAGATTAATCGTTACACCGCTCGTGTTTCGATGTTTGTCAATCTTACGCACTGCCAGGAGGCACCGTGTGTGCGTCTGTGATGTGGGGGGCTGCATCAACCGACTGCGTTACGTACCCGGCGACCTGGGATTGGATAACATCAATGGCAAGTGATATCGAAAACTGCCAATAGCTCCCCTAGTTTGACTCAGCTTTAAAATAAATAGCGTTGGCCTCGCGTGCATCGTTCTCCTTCCCCTCTGCACCCCCCCCACACCTCCCATTAGCACAATTGGCTACGTATGGTGCTAAAGAAGTTCAACACGCACACATACATACGTTCTGGCCTTTGACTTGCCCCAGCAGTCTGCCATGCACGGCTATAAAGCACAGAAAATATTTACCTTTTCATAAAAAGGTGTTCTATACAGCAAAACAGGAATGACTATAACACATCGGCTTTCGCGACCAATATTATCCATAATAGAGGTTTTTTTGGGGGTTAGATCGCGTAAATATATAAATGTGTCGTTAAAACCCGCCACCACCCGACACAGCCAACTAGTAAGGTTTATCACGTAAACAGAACGTGGCCAATTCGTCACTAGTACAGCACACCGGTGTGTTGGAGAACTAAGCCACAACATTTACAATCTGAGTACGATGTTTCGCCAGTAATTACAACGAGCTTCATTAGGGGACAGCCAGATTTGTGGATAAGTCCACCTGTTTCGTTTGTTATATAGAGGCGTAGATATGGTGACCACACTTCTGCGCTCTTGCGCAAAGGGGGGGGGGGGGGGAATAATGACATTTATATATTTACACGACCTAACCCCCCAAAAAACCTCTATTATGGATAATATTGGTCGCGAAAGCCCACGTCTTAGACTGACTATCCTCTACGGGGAGGATACTTTTCTACAAACCAGAAAATTGGAGAAACTCCCAATTATGCGGACGAAGCTGTTGTCTCCACTGACGTTTCTCAAAAGATGCAGCGATTCAAAGGTAATACCACACACAGTTAAAGTAACGCATCACATTAAGTCACTTAAAGCTAAATACTACATAAAGCTAATCTTCGTGACTGCAGGAACCCATACTCTTTGGTTCTTTCGGTTAAAGTCACGTAGGTATAAAATAAAAATAAATCACGACGTTTCGGGCGCAACACAAGCGTCCGTCATCAGGTGGGAAAGCATGGTCTGCTGCTGAGGCAGACTGTTTTAAAAGGTTTGAAATTGGTGTAGCTCAAGGGTCATAAAAAAGTGGCCGGGGCTCGTGATGTTCATGTGAGAAATTAGCGTGTAACTGTAAGCTAGGAGAGCGGTCTCCTAAACGAGGGCACGAAAGTGGATATGTTAATGTGAGAGATTAGCATGATGTTAATGTGATAAATTAGAGGGCACGGAAGTGGCTATGTTAATGTGAGAAATCAGCATGGAACTGTCGAAAAGAAAAAGAAGAGTGGCCTCCTCGACGAGGGAGTGCAACCCAAGGGGTGTAATCCTAAGGGCCTGTGAGCATGAGAGTGCAATCCAAAGGCATGAGAGTGCAATGCAACGGACATGTGAGCATGAGAGATCTAAGAGAGAGGCATAGAGAGAGAGACACACAGAGAGTCCAAATAACAACTGACATAGGCAGCTTGGATGGAACATCAGTCAGTTAAGACTTTACCTGGTTAATAACGTCCTTCCAATGATTGCTCAGTTTGTAGTTCATTATGGAATGGGCTAATTGTCACAAAACCAATCAACACGTGCACAGATTTTACATACCACGTCTGGATCTCAAATATCTCTGGGTTCCCGAAGTGAGAAACAAGGGGAGGGGAGGGGAGAAATACCCCCCCCCCCCCACAACAAACTGCAAGAGGAGCAGCACGGGAAGAATGCAAGCGTCGTGTGCTCCGTGGCACCTGGGTGCCAGCTGGCGTTCCTCCTCGGGGTCTGATCGGTGGCGGTATGTGTCGGTCAACATCGGGGGCCGAGGCCGGTTATAGGGCAGGCGGATGGAAGGCATTGGAGGGGGTGGTCGGATATGCGTTGAGATTAATTTGTGTGACTGTGGCGCGCGCCTTGATGTTTGATTTTTTGTTCTCGTAGGGTGAAATAAATTCGCGTGCTATTAATGAACTCTCTCCTGAAATGAGACATATTATGGTGGTAGTGATTATGATGATGCTGTTGCGTTGGTGGTGGTGGCCCAGGAAACACCCCCCCCCCCAAAAAAAAAACACATTTGTCACTCAATACACATTCGTCAATTGTACAAGACAGCGTTATTGACAAATGTGGTGACGTTTTTACATCTCCTATTCATGTGTAACCGCAGGTTATGTGTGGGGGAGTTTATTCAACCGTTTGGTTTCACAAGATTCGCATCGGGCTTATACCTACGTTTAAGTTCACACTGCTCAACAAACTGATGTTAGCCAGTGACGAAGTAATATTTGAAACCGGACATTTCCAACCCCGACCACCACACTCATCAGCACTGATGAGTGTGGTCAGATAACCGGCATGGCTCACACGGCGTTGTAGAGGCCTTCATCCAGCAGCGGATTGACAAAGCATTTATGTTTCATTTATACTGGTAGTAACCTCCTGGTTACACCAGCCCACGGGGGATTATTCTGTCCGTCGTGCATTCCAAATATGGGAGGGGTGGGTGGGGCTGGGTGGGGAGGATGGGGAGGGGCTGGGTGGGGAGGGGTTGGGTGGGCAGGGTGGGGTTGGGTGGGGGGTGGGAGGGGTGGGGCTGGGTGAGGAGGGGCTGGTCACCCCGTGGTGCCCTTATAAAACTCAACGTTTTACAGGTAGGAACAACAGGTTCCACACTTCCCACCAGGGATTATTTGTCTGTTGTGCATCGGAATGCAGCCCACCCATGCACCCCCCCAACCGACCACCGAGCAGGGACACGATTGGTTGAGGATGTCGGGGAGGGTGGGGGGGGAAGGTAAACACGCCCAATCATCCAACTCCCCCCCCCAAACACCGAGCGGGGCCGCCATTGGTAGAGGTGGGGTGGAAACACGCCCACTCATGCAATCCCCTCCCCACCGAACACCGAGCAACGCCGCGATTGGTTGACGATGTCGGGGAGGGTGGGGGGGAAGGGTAAACATGCCCACTCATCCAACTGCCCCCCCCCCTGAACGCCGCGCTGAGTGTGTGTGAGTCTGACAGTGTGAGAGTGAGTGTGTGTGAGTCTGAGAGTATGAGGGTGTGTGTGTGAGTCTGAGAGTGTGTATGTGAGTCTGAGAGTGTGAGAGTATGTGTGTGTGTGAGTCTGAGAGTGTGAGTCTGAGAGTGTGAGAGTGAGTGTATGTGTGTGTGAGTCTTAGTTACCTAGAGTGTTATACAGGTCGGAACAACAGGTACCACACTGCCTACCAGGGATTATTTGTCTGTCTGTCGTGCATATCCGGAATTCCTCCCACCCATGCACCCCACCACCGAACACCGAGCTACGCCGCGATTGGTTGACGATTTCGGGGAGGGTGGGGGGGAAGGGTAAACACGCCCACACATCCAACTGCCCCCCCCCCCCTGAACGCCGCGCTGTCCAACCAAGTTCCTACCTGCCCACTCCGAAGGAACGTTTAATCTACTCACGCCGGCTTGTGCCCGCCCTCACAGTCGGAATACACCACGCCGCCGTTGACCCTGGCCATTGAGCGAGCAACCCAACGTTACTACCAGCTCCCTCCGCAGGAATTTGTTTATTAACTCGTTTTACTAGCCGGCTTCGCCCGAGACTTGGATTTTTGTCTTGGATTAATACACGGCCTACGCGGAGGGTGGGGGGGATGCGTGACGTCAACAGGCACACTGCGAGACGATACCGCATGCGGGTGACATCACAGAGGTGACGTCACCACTCACTTGCCGCGCAAAATATATCCATTATTGCACCCCCCCCCCCCCCAAATACAAAAGTCTATGTTTATACTTTTTCCATTGTGTACAGTCTGGAAGCTACCCACATGGCAAATTTCTAGTTTGTTGCATGTTGGGAAGTATGCTAAACATTTCGAACACACACATTCACAAATGTCCCTTTTAGAAATATAGATAAGCTAAAGCTAATAGCTAAGGCGTGGACAAGTTACACTGTATACACTACGCCGAGAACTCCGGAATGAATATTATATCTCTGTATCTTTAAACCTTTTTGTTAATGGCTCAACCAAAACTCTTCATCTCCTAGACATTTTAATGAATGACCTAGACCTCCATGTGCTTCATTTCTAAGTATTCCCTGTTAATTAATGATCTCATCCGAACTATTCTCTCTAGACCGGACCCAACAGCATTTTACAGCGGGGGGGCTTTCTCTCGGACTTAATTCAACCCTCAATCATTGCAACCCCGTATTGTTCGACACGATGTCTGACGTTGCGCTCCACCATGCCGGGGAGCTACGATAACCTACTTAATGTTATTATCAGCCATCACTGCCCGCTATGATCACTCACATCATCACAACGACGACCACACACACATACAGCAACATAAAATAAGTATAACCCGTAAAAACAAAGTTTTTCACTATAAATCCTTTATATGCGTGGCGGCTAGAGTCCTCTCGTCCTCTGGCTTGAGATGGCTGCCACCTATGGGTTAGATGATTGTCTGCAGTATTAAACAATTGGTAATTAAATATTTAATTTGTTTTCCTTAAACAGTGTAACATTTTCGAAAAAATTCTTCACGAACATTAATTGTCTCGCACAACGAGTCTGTGTGCAAAATGTCAGCTCAATTGGATCACGGGAAGTGGGTTAAAAAACGACCGAAAGGTTTGCACGGTCGTAAGCAAGCAAGCAAGCACGCAAGCACGCAAGCAAGCGAACTTAATATAAAGGATTTAAAAAGACTGCCCCAGTGTCATCGGCTGGAGGAGGCGGTCACAGCTGATGAAGATTCAAGAACCAATACTGACTGTGCGCGTGTGGGTCCTCTTGTCCACAAATGGCCGTCAATGGTCAGAGTTGCAGATTTGATAGATACGCAATTAATAAATGAATCAATACGGACGGACCAAAACCCTGACCTCATGACTCCTAGTCCCCTCATTTGCAAATCATTCACCGCGCTCGGCACGAGCATTCCTCCGTGTGATTAGGAATTAAATAAAAGTACGGTGGGTGGGTAAACAGAAGCGGAGCGACGACACTCAGGTCGCGATGTGGAACCGCGTTTTGGGGCTGAGAATAGCTGATGCTGGTGATGATGGTGATAATTATTATACTCACACTCAGAATTTGTATTGTTACTGGAAGAATCCCCTGAGCTTTATTCATTAGGGACAGGTCAAACAGTTACAACAAACAATACGAATACACGATAGGAGTAAAAGGTGTAGGAAAGGTAAACAAAGAACTCACAAAACTAAAAGTAAACTACTTTTTGTATTATCACTGAGCTATTCGCTTCTTTTTCAGAAGCGACCTGGCCACAAAAGATAGCTCACCGAAGTGGCTTATCATGTGGAAATGTATAGCGGCCAAATAATCTAAACTCTGCAGTGGCTGATTGATGTTGGCAATAATAATGGCACTTGCTGCTGCCGATGAGTTGTTAATGACGATGACATTGTCGGTATTGGTGTTACTATGATTCATTGGTGGCGATGATAATGATGATGATACTGATCTTGCTGACCCCCCACCCATACTGGACATCTGTGAAAAAAAGGGGCTTCATAGCTCATCGGATTCCTACTGCTCTCTAAATACAGCTTCTGATTCTGATCGTTGCTTCTGCCGATGACAACGATGACCTTGTTTTCAAGCCACCGCTTCTACAGTGGGCGACTGAGACCTGGTCACGTGAACAAACAAATGCATCAATGGGTCAATGTGTTCCCTTCATGGCCCATTTCCAGGGCAAGTGGAGGAGGGCGTGAGTTTCGCGGCGAGGTGGTGAGGGTGGGGAGATCAGGCCACGGGGAACGCGTGCGTCCCGAGCGGCTCCACGTGCACGCACGCCCCGTGGCAGTGTGACGCGCGCGTGGCCACGTGGGTGGGCTCCCATTGGCTAGGTACACTCCGCCCACGCGCAGTGACACCGCACGCGTGACACCAACAAGGTATACGCGACCCCGCGGTGACAAGGCGGCTCCCACCGGGACTCAAGACTCCACAGGTACACGACAGCACCACGCAGCTACGCGCAAAATCGCACGCGTACACACGCGAGACCTCGTGTGTGTGTGTGTATAAGGACGCGCATCCGGTGTGAGTACTGCGCGTGTGTGTGCGAGAGTGTGTGTGTGTGTTTTATAGTCACGATCGTGTGCGTCGACTTCGGGTTCAATTCTCGAACAGGGATAGCATCAGCGGTACCTGGTCTGAGCCTGCCTTGGAGTCTCATCGCGGTCTACCCAGCCATGCGTGAATACACAATGATGATACGCGTGTTATGTCAACATTGTGTGTTATTTCGACAACGGCGGCCGGGCGTGCTGATAACGTAACTACGTTGTCATTTGGTCTGACCATGGCCTGAACCTCTCTTAGGTCGACTCAGCATAAAATGAGTTTAGGTTTAAGTCCATTTAGTTTAGCTAGGTGAACACTAGAGTTCAGGATAGCTCTCAATTTTCAAGAGTGGCCTGGGGTATTCAAATGCCGGTAGGGGGCGATGATTGCTACCTCTGTGCGTGCGTCATCCCAATTGAGACATTTGCGAACTTTTGGAACCTACATTTACGAATGACGTCATGTGATCTCTCACGTCCACATGTGAAATAGACGTCGCTTGTTTCTAAGGTAATGACGCCGGCAGTAATAGACCACGGCGGCCTGCTGGATCCACACCGTGGGCGTCTTCAACGAGAGAGGTAAATGTGGCACAGCGAGACGTCGTCAGCTTGTGAGGCAGTACAGCAAGTAGCTTACTGAGAGGCTTTGCAGTGTGACTTGAGCGTTCTCCCTTCGCGTGTGTGTGGGGTTTCATCCAGACACCCCAGTTTATTCCCCCCCCCCATCCCCAATAAATTACTGAATTAAATCACGTACATTAAACTGCATCTCGATAAATAATACTTTGTAATTCTTTAAGCGGATAACAGTGAGTTAAGCCGTTTCCGAAACAGCAAATAACTACAACGGTGCTATGTTGGCAAATTACAAGTGGGAATTACTATATATTCATATTGAAATCTCCCATAAATTAAACGTGTTCTTAATTTCATGAAAAAGGGCAGTCGGCCGAAACATAGATATCTCAGTAAATAAACCCTATTATCGCCGTGGTGGCGAGATGTTAACTACCTCGCCAGGTATACAGGAGGTCGTGGGTTAAATCCCGATCCTGACGCCTGCTGTATATTTCGAGTTCGCATATGGTCGTGTGGATTTTTCTCAGGGCCTTGCCCGGTAAAATTTGCCTGCTATAACTTTACACGTGATAAGCCACTTCGTTGGGCTATCATTTGTGGCCAGGTCACTTCTGAAAAATAGCTATATAGCTCAGTGGGCCTTGCCCGGTAAAATAAAATAAAAAATCATTTCTAAATAGTTTATGGTTAATTATCGTTTTGAATAAAGCTGGCACCGACTGTAAATTAAATCAGCCGCAACTTTATCTCTCCGATCATCAGTCTTGGACTTTGTCCAGATTTTAATTGCTTTCGCGTCATGCTTCACTGGAGGCGCATTAGTTCACTGATGATGTGGATCGTACGTGTGTTGTTTTAATTGTTTAGCACAAGGTTTTAAGCAATGTAGAACTTTAAGCTGACCCGGCCCCATGAGTGAAACCAATCAACCGTTGGGCAGTCATTTTTGTGTACCAATTCAGTTTTGTCGTGATTAGATTTCTTGAGTTCTTCGCTTACACTCAGCTATGTTTGTGCCAATGTCATCCTTCTCGGCTCTTCTTGAACATTATTGGAATTTACGTCAGGATTCCCAACACTCTCAGAAAACAAAGTTAATTAGCTCACGAAAGAAAATATATCCGCACGAGCAAGGCAAATTCAAAACATTGATGATATTTTCACCACCGTCACTCATTGCTTGGGGGCATCTCTCACTCTAAACAAAGTGCAGAGCGGTGCACATAAATACATGGAAGTTGTTGTTGTTTCACAACTTCCTCTATTGCTGCTTGGCTTTGGAGCGGTCCCGATGGAAATGACTGATCAGCCACCACGTTTATAAACCTCGCCAGGAGCTCCGAGCTCGGTTCCTGTGAATGAAGACGTTCCGCTCTGACGTGAAGTCCTCTCTCTCGGTCCCAAAACATTGGCAACTGCTTCATGATTGAACTACCCCAACGTTCACTTTGGATTTTTAACTCATGAAAAGTATAACCCGTAAAAACAAAGTTTTTCACTATAAATCCTTTAGATGCGTGGCGGCTAGAATCCTCTCGTCCTCTGGCTTGAGATGGCTGCCACCTATGGGTCAGATGATTGCATGGCAGCATTAAGCAATTGGTAATTAAATATAATATTTTTGTTCTAAAAAGTGTAAAATTTTAGAATTTTTTTCCCATGAATATTAATTGTCATGCACAACGAGTCTGTGTGGAAAATGTCAGCTCGATTGGATCACGGGAAGTGGGTTAAAAAACGACCGAAAGATTTGCACGGTCCTAAGCAAGCAAGCAAGCAAACTTAATATAAAGGACTAGCTGTACTACCCGGCTTCGCCCGGGACTTGGATCCACCACGCCCGGCCGCCTTTGTCTCCCCAGTGGCGATGTTAATACGCCACACCAGTTACTCGTTTTGAGGCTGAGTCCCTCCCTCACCACTCTCCCTCCCTCACCACTCTCTAGAGGACGTGAAACTTTGATGAATTTACCTCAGAGTCGCGTGGTGGGTGTCGAGGCCTAGCACCGTGCAGAGCCTCCGGCCTCGCCTAAATTGCCCACCCGGCTGAGGCTGGGTACGGGTGCCGTGCCCCCCCCCCCCCCGCGCTACAATAATACTGTCTAATCGCTATAATTTTATTATCTACCGACCCTATAATAGTAATTGCACACATTGTGGTGGGGGGGGGGGAGTGAAGAGGACGTGAAACTTTGATGAATTTACCTCAGAGTCGCGTGTTAATGCGTGCGCCTATTTTTAACGGGAATTAAAAATGGCGTCCACCCCGCGGTGAAGGCGTCGCTACCCGTTGCCAGGGGCAACCGCCGTCCAATGAAACTGCGTATGGTCCGGCGACACACAGACAGACAGACAGATTCGCGATTTTATATATATAGATTGAAAAAATAAATCTACATTATTTATTTAAAAAAATATATAAACATAATTTATTGCACATCCCATCTGTCCTCTCTGAGTGCGTTTTTATTTTTAGCATCAGCTTTGGTTTATTACAAGCAAATCTGGACAGTTTTCAACATTCGGCGTCTGATTGGTAGTCGTGCTTGCATAGACCAATGCTGGTGAACTGCCAGATGTTTATATGCAAGGACCCTCTCTGTGAGATATGGGGCCGAGTTCAACGCAAAATGCTAAAATACAGCACGCAACTTATAATCTCCCCGAAGACGATAATAATTATTTAGATTTTTGCGAGGTTTTCCAGACTCGGCTATTGCTTTAGCTTCCGAAACCTGACCGTATTGGGCAAATTCTGGGTTATCTGGTGAAAAAACCTGTCGTGTGGAATTGTAAATGTTGTGGGTTTACTCTCCAACACACCGGTGTGCTGAACTAGTAACTAATTGGCACATTTTATTTACTGACAAACCTTACTAATTGGCTGTGTCAAGTGGTGGCGGGTTTAACGACACATTCATAATTATGCAATCTAACCCAAAAAAAACTATGATGGTTAGTATTTTATATTTGCAGTTTTCGGTCACGCCGAATTCCTCAACGTTGCAGTGAATGATTGAATGAGCATTTGATAATAAAATACAATCGCTACCCTCACCTACCACCTTCCGCATAACCATGAGATGCACGCATTTTGGCTGTGCGTTATAGCCGGCAACGTAGCAACAGTCCCGAACTTGGAGGTGTGAGTGGCAGTATTCTTTGCGTATCTGGTCCGCAGCTGGTCGGCAAAACGTTTATACGTCCATGGCCGTTGCTTGCGACGAGTAGACGGCTTCAGCAGTACCCCCTGGGGAATATCGGGAATGCGAATGATCGCACCGGAGTAGTGGCGTAACCCGTACCACCTGGAAGTTCGCCACTGCAAGTTGCCATGGAGGCCCATGTTGAGTAGCCAACGGGGCCCATGAAGGAATATTTAATCGAGAGGGCACAGCGCGTAGCCTCGGCCTCCTGCAGTGGTGGAATGTTGTGGCTCAGCGCAGGCTGCCCGAGCTAGTGCCGGCGGGAAGGGAAACGAGTTTTTGTTATTTATGGCTAAGGCGAGATAAAAAAAAAAAATTACTCAACATATTTTGTTATGTTTTTTCCCCACCACAGTGCTTCTGCGCCGCATGTAGTGACGCGGCTCACGCAGGTGAGGTTAGCAGGTGAGAGTGCTAATGGAGGGCAGGAGACACCAACCCCGACAGGAGGATGGAGAAGAAAATCCAGGAGCAGCGCAACGGCGAGAAAATCGATGGCAGCACGGAGACCCACAGCGAGAGCGACGACAGCCACAGCCACGGCACTCAACCGGGCTGGGAGGCCGAGACACACGGGTGGCACCGGAAAATGAAGCTCATCCCAACCGAGCTGATCCACAGGGAGGTCCGTCAGAATGGCATGGAGACCAGCCCAGTCTCACAAGGACTCACAGAGACCAGCCCAGTCTCACAGAGACTCACGGAGACCAGCCCAGTCTCACAGAGACTCACGGAGACCAACCCAGTCTCACAGAGACTCACGGAGACCAACCCAGTCTCACAGAGATTCACGGAGACCAGCCCAGTCTCACAGAGACTCACGGAGACCAGCCCAGTCTCACAGAGACTCACGGAGACCAGCCCAGTCTCACAAGGACTCACGGAGACCAGCACAGTCTCACAAGGACTCACGGAGACCAGCACAGTCTCACAGAGACTCACGGAGACCAGCCCAGTCTCACAGAGACTCACGGAGACCAGCACAGTCTCACAGAGACTCACGGAGACCAGCACAGTCTCACAGAGACTCACGGAGACCAGCCCATTCTCACAGAGACTCACGGAGACCAGCCCATTCTCACAGAGACTCACGGAGACCAGCTCGTCGCCGCACTGCTCGTGGAGCGACCCTGGCCGGACATCGACTCTAAGGGGCCCGAGTGGCCCGGGGATCTGGGCCACTCACCGTCCCCGTGGCGGGGCCCTCTGCGCACTGCGGCTGCCCTCTTCGCAGTGGTGCTGGCCTACTCGGTGTGCCGTGACGTGGTGCAGCCCTACGTGACTTCGGGCCGCTCGGAGGCTCACCGCCTCCCCGTACTGATTGTCAACCGCGCCCTGCCCGCCACCGCCATCTCCCTGCTGGCGTTTGCCCATCTGCCCGACGTCCTGGCCTGCCTCCTGAGGGCGCGCGACCATGACAGGTCGGTGGCTCGCACTGTCCTGAAAAACCAGGGGACCCGGAGAAAAATCCACACGACCACAGGAAGAGAGACACGCAAACTCCAAATTTGCAGGTGTCAGGGTCAGGGTTGAACCTACTAGCTCCCGCATACCAGGTGACGAAGTTAACATCTCGCCACAAAGTGCCCCCACCCCCCTTCCCCTTGTGGTATGACACCGATCCCTCTCGCCTTACGCCTCTGCGTGCCCGCGACGCTTCTCGCACTCTGTCTCCAGTGATGCAGTCCGGTGTCGCTAGACGGTAGACTCGCACACAAACAAACAAGCCGTGAGCAATGTCCCATTGCCCCTAGGCTGCCGAGTCTCCGTGTGCGTGGTTTACAAATGCTCGTTGCATTGGTTACTGGCAATACGTGAAGGGAGATGTGAGTGAAATGTGAGGCAGGGTTATTCATTGCTGTGAGAATGACGGCGACACCGCTAAATGTGAACGCTCGAGGTGACATTTGTGTAAGTGACCAAATCACAATTTGTCTTCTCATCTTGAAACATGACAAATGCATTAAATCATAGTTTGTTATTTATAATTATTCACCATAAACATATCCATAACCCCAACCTGCACCATTAACCCTATCACGATGCCTGTATCGTGATAATGATAATTGAATTTTATCGATGAGTCGATGCATCAATACGTGCCTAACTATTCCACGTGGGTCACAGAGCCAGCTGTCGATTGTCTGCGGCGATGTTTGTTGCAGCAGGCACCGTGCGCCTCCGTCGCGCTGGCTGGCGCGCTGGCTGGCGGCGCGCAAGCGCCTCTGGCTGCTGGGGGCCGGAGGGGCGGCGCTGCACGTGGCCTACAGCCTCTCCTACCCGGGCCGCCTCGCTCTCCGCTACAAGATGCTCGCCTGGTCGTACAAACAGGCATGCGCCGCCCTGTACCACCCCGCACCACTCTGTATCACCCTGCACCACCCCGCACCACCTCATACCAGCTGCCCCATCTTGCATGGCTGCATCCCGTCCTGTTTAAGCCTCCGAGACGTGCGATTTGGCCGGGGGCGCTTGTGAGGAGGAGCCCCGTACATCCCAAACCCTAACGGGAGTCCGAATTCCACACCGGGTACGGGAGTCGAACCCGGCAGGAGGCTCACGTTTACGCGTGCGCTGTGCAGGTGCAGGAGGGGCGCGCGACCTCGTGGGACGAGGAGGACGTGTGGCGCATGGAGCTGTACGTGTCACTGGGCGCAATGGCGCTGGGCGCGCTCTCCCTGCTCGCCATCGCACAACTCCCCTCCGTGCGCGACTCGCTCACTGGTCGCGAGCTCGCCTACCTGCACGTGAGTCTAGCTAGGGCGGGGGAGGGGGAGTTGGTGAGAGCCTCATTGATCAATAGGGCTTAGAGTTGATGGATTGTACTATACACAGGTAGACACGAGGAGACGCACATGGAGACAAGAAGAGAGAGATAGACGCAGGGAGTCAGAGAGGGTGCCACGGTGGTGAGATGTTAACACTCTCGCTTTGCATGCAGGAAGTCGTGGGTTCAATCCCCACCCTGAAGCCTGTTGTATATTTGGAGTTTTTCGTGTCTCTCATGCCGTGGTCACATGGATTTTTCTCGGTCTTACCCTCCATATTTATAAACGTGTTTTTAGAGCATTTGGATGCTGTAAATATCCACATGATGATAACCCACTTCGTTGAGCTACCATTAGTGGCCAGGACGCATCTGAAAAAGAGCTATATCGCTCAGTGGGCCTTCTCTGGGAAAATAAAAAATAGCATGGGATAAAGGGTGGGAGGGGGTGCCACGGAGACCATTGGGGCGAGGGAGATCGTTTGGGTGTGAGGCTCAGAGTAGCTTTCTGTGGATTGTTGATGAGAATGGGAGTGTGCATCTGGAAGCAATTTTCTCCGCTAGTGCCCAGTAGCTGCAGGTTGGGATTGCATGACTGTGCCGGGCGGTATAGCTATGGAGCATGCGGGCGATGCAAACGCACCGGTAACACACTGGCCGGAGAGAGACCCAGGCGACAAATAACGAGAAGAGTGGAAAATTTGGATAGTGCCACCCATTGGCACCGATGCCAACTGTGCTGCGCCACCAGGAGCGCCATGCCGGTGGTCGCAGGGCGACAACAACGGAGGAAACTCCCCCGCTCGAGCTGAGAGCCGAACAACAGGAGTGGTCAATGGGGAGTGCGAGAGATCGACTAGCGGTGGTGTTGGAGACGCTCAGAAGGGGAGGGCTGAGGCATGAGATGAACACGCGAGACCCGGAATGTCTGCGAAGAAAAAAACCCCTGTGACATTGTCACACGCAACTCTTGGCAATGGCGCACCAGGCCTGTCGCCCCAAAGCCACGTTTTTGTTTATTCTCCCGTAGACTAATTAACGAAGCCTCTTCGCCTCGTAGCTGTGATTTCAGTTTCCAAACCGTGTTCTTTGTTGTCACCAAATCTCAATGGGCTTCCATCCACACTCCCACCTTGTTAAACCTGGTGTACGGCTCTGTACACCCGGCTATGCTTGCACAACTGGGCCCTGAGGCAATGAATTAAATCTCCCCCCTTCCCCATCCCGCCGTGTTCCATGGACGTATGTATGTTGAACTTCTGTCGCACCGTACGTAGCCAACCTGTGATAACGAGAGGTGCGGGGGAGGGGCAACAACAACAAAAGCAGTTCTAAAGAAAGGCATTTTCAATCTAGAAAAGGGCAGCGATGCCTAAGGGCGGCACGGCCAGCGCTTGCCTCTCTTTGCCTTCCCTCCTCTCTGCAGCCCGGCGCCTGCGCCCATCCAACTCTTTGTGCCCCGGGTGCAGTTGCACAGCCTGCACTCTTAATAGCAATGCCACCGTCTGCAACCGCACGTCCTTCTTGGCACCTCCCTCTGCCCCACCCCCCTGCACCCCTCTCCTGGCAGGATCGGCTGGGACCGCTCGCCCTGCTGCTGAGCGCTGCACACACGGCCGTGTACGGCTGGCGTCGCTGGCTCGACGCGGTCTCCTACGTGTGGTGCACTCCGCCCGTCTTCCTTCTCGCCCTGCTCGCTCCCTGCAGCACCCTGCTCGGCATGGCCCTCGCCGCCGCTCCCTGCTGGCGCAGACGCCCTGCCCTCGACCGCGGAATCCGGACAGAGGAGGAGGATGAGGAGGATGATGAGGAGGATGAGAAGAAGGACCTGGGACAGTTCCATACGGATCAAGATATAGGGATAGAGATGGTGACGGCCCTTTAATTAAAGTACAACACGTCAGAATCATAAGCTTTATCGGAATTAGCATTTTTATTTAGACTGGAGGAATTCGATTAGCTATGAAGCTCTTTTTTCAAGTATGTGCAGTATTTGGTCAGTTGCCTATGACGAAATCACCTGGACTGTGCCATATCTCAGAAGTTAAGCAGGCTTGAGCCTGGGTAACGCTTGGATGGGTGATCACTGTGCACAGCAGAGGGGAGTACAGCAAAACACATGGTTTCTCTGTACTGTACTTAGATGCTCCCATAGAATTACAAGTTTGGTTAGACAATCCCCACAATCTGCACGGCATGCAGAGGCCCTCATCCTGCAGTAGATTAAAAAAAGGGATGCACTTTTACAACAGACCCATAGACTCACATAGACACCCATAAAGTCATGCAGAGACACACACACACAGACTCACATAAAAACCCATGTACTGTATGTATGTGTAGTGACATCGCTGGATGCCAACATGCTGGTTGCAGTGCCGGCCCTAGAGGGGCCCAGTGAGCGCTGATTGATAGCGCTAGATGGCACCACGCTTTGCGTGCAGTGCCAACCCTACAGGACAGGGTGGGTTGGTGCTGGCCGACGAATGAGGTTACTCGAGGCCATGGCACTCTGGTTGACCAGTTAAGTCCACCTTCTAGAATCCTCAGGAAGGATCTGCGTCCCAATCATGTGACCAGTTAAGTCTACAAAGGGGCCCTACGTGGGGGCAAGGGGTGGTCACGTGATTGGGAGCCAGATCTTACCCGAAGATTCTAGATGGTGGACGTGGCCATGGGCGGAGCTGGCCACGCCACAGAGAATAAAAGCCGGGTCCCGAGAGGGACCAGGGTTGTTGTACATCTTGGAAAAAACCTTCGTCTACGTTCTTCGTTCAACGAGTCTCCAACACGTGGACCCAGGCTGAAGCTGTTGGTCCCGGTCCATAGTAGCAGTTACGTTGTAATTAGTGTAGTTAGCCTGGTGTTCACCACCATAGGTTGTTATTCTGTTAAGGGGAAAGTTACCCCGTGTGTTGGAACTTAATAAATGTGTTTCCTCCAAGTCTACGTCTGCGACTCAGTTGAACCCATTACATATGTAGAACTTCTTTCGCACCGTACGTAGCCAACCGTGCTAATCGGGGGTGTGGGGGAAGCACAACAAACTAAACACAAAGTAGTTGTAAATCAATGATTTTTAATTTATATTTAAAAGTGCATACCTCAAGTGGCTTCCTAATATTGGAAGGAAGCGCGTTCCAGATGGCCGCATAAGTGCATCTGAAAGGATTGATTGTCTTTGTTCGATGGCGAGCTAAACGCCGCTGTGAGAATGACTGGAGTTTGCGTGATGGTTTATGCTCCTTCAGAAAGGTATTGTGGTTCATTTGTGGCAAGCACTTTGTGTGTAATGAGTGCAACCTTATGTATTCACATAGACATCCATATACAGTACTCACAAACAGACCCATAGACTTACATAGACCCATTGACCAACTGGAATGCAATGGCTACTTTGCAAGCCGACTGTCTATCAACAAAGATTCGTTCACAAAGCCATCCATATGTAATAAGCGAGCGCCATCTCCTGCATTATTGTGGGGTTACATTTACATACTGTCATGCAGTCCACGCACTATGAGTAGTAGGGATTCTATATGGGGGAAATGTGAATGGGCGGATCTGGTATGGAAGCCTCTGTAACATTCTCGAAGGTTCCTAGAGGGGCGTGGCCAGAGGCGGAGCTTAGCCTCAGAGACGAGAATATAAGCCGGGGGTACAGCAACGTTAGGGGTCGGTGTTTGAAGATCGAAGAGGAGCTCCCGTCGCTGCTGCCCCGCCATCTCCACCTGCCATGTGGCGGCTCGACCTCCAGCCGCTCAACCGCTCCACGGCGCGGGGCAGCGCAGCTACGAGAGCGGGTCGGCATTCGCGAGAACGAAAGGAGTGGCTGTACCAAGACTTGAATAAATACACCAAAGTTACTTACCGTGTCGGAGCCACTTATTACACATATATACAGACACAATTTCCACCGAGACGATGGTTTTAAACTCGGCAATCATTGGAAAGATGTCATCAACCACTTTGGGTCATGACTTGATTTGCGTTTTCTTGTCAACCTGTACCATCAGCAATGTGGATGTGAGTAGCGAGGTGCAATGCCCCTCCCCCCATCTCTACCCCCCCTCTCTCCCCCTATCTCTAACCCCCTTCCAACCCCCCCATTGTCTACTCCGACATTAGCGCTGGCTGACTGGCTGCCCCGCCCATGCTGTTTGCGCCGCGCAGTCCCCCTCCCATCTTGTCCCCCGCCCACTCACTTTGGAAGCCCTTGTAAGCAGTTGCATTTGGAGGCTTCTCCCCTCTTTTCTCTCCGCCTGATGAATACCGCTTGTGTTGCGATCGAAATGTCGTGGGTTTTTTTGCTTTTATTATTTTCAATTTATTATTTTTATTACATTTTTATTTTCTATCTACGTGACTTTACAGAAAGAACCAAGAATATGAACCCAACGGGCTGCCTGGTCCACACGTGGAGACCGAGGACCGAGGATCGAGGAAAGTGATAATTCCCAGGGCTCAACCCCGGTCCCTCTCGGGACCCCGGTTATATCTCCTCTGGCCTGGCTGGCTCTGCCCCTGGCCACGCCTCCCTTCCAGAACCCTCGTGGGGACTCTGGATCCCCATCACGTGACCCTCTCACCCCTCACTGGGGCCCCCCTGCCCCCTCTCGTCCAGTCACGTGTCCCCCCGGGTCCACCTCGCGGTCACGTCCTGGAGCGACCCCCTCCACAGCGACACCCCTGCTCCACCCTTACAGTACCACCCCACACACGGCACTGTCTCTGCACCATGGTGGCCCCCTTGAGGCCACCACACCAGTATCAAAGTATAAGAATAGGTTTGACCCCTTCTGGTCATAAAACAGGTGTTAAGATGTTCAATGGCCATACATAAACCGTTTGCAAGGAATCATATCTGCATTAACAACACGTACTTGTGGTAAACATGTGTAGTGGGTATTGTGAGCGTTACACGCGGTTACCACTACTTACCTGGTGTAGCAAGTCAGGCCTGTATTAAGTAATGCCGTTAGGCCAGGGAACCCAGAGGGTGGTTGGGAACCGGAGGCATACACCCCAGGCCACTAGTGGGGGCTGGGGGATTACGCAATAGTTCAGGTCCCTCCAGAAGCTTCCAGAGAGTAGGCGTGGCCAGGGGTGGAGTGACCCTGGGAGCTGTATATAAGGCGGACCCCTGAACGGGTTTGTCAGTCATCATCGAGCTGAAGACTGAAGAGCCGGCTTAGACTAGGACCCTGGGAACCCCTGGACCCGGAGTCCTTCTAAGGGCTGGGACTGAGTGTGCCAGTGGCCGGGACCCAAGGACCTTGGCTGGGTCAGGTCAGATAGCCTCCCCTAGGTCCCCCTAGCCGGAGGGTTGATATATAGAGGAAGTGGTCCCAGTGATTAGGACAAGTGAGCCCGGAGGCCATACCTCCCCAGGATATCGGGTGGAAGGGGCCGATACCCCTTTGTGTCAGGGACCTTGTGTTACCGTTATAGTTGTTACTAGCTTTACTTCCCGGCTTCGCCCGGGACTTGGATTCACCACGCCCAGCCGCCTTTGTCTCCCCAGTGGCGATGTTCACACACCACATCAGTTAATTGTTTGAGGTTGAGTCGACCTAGGGGAGGCCCAGGACCGGTTCAAATAATCGTCACCGGTGATGGCCGTGAGCGGGAATCAAACTCAGGTCACTGGGTTCGTAGCGCAGCGCGTTAACTACTACACTACCGCTCCCCCCCACACACAAACACGCGCACGTCCATAGGTACACATTCACGCGCTTGCTGCAGACACACAACTTTCAGGGTGCGTACGGCAGTAAACGACTGAAATAATAAAGCAATGCTGCGTGAAGAACGCCTTGGACCTGCAACACATTTGTATGGCACTTTACTCGCGGAGGGTTGGGGGGAATGCGTGACGTGAGCAGCCACACTGCGTTACGCTTCCGCATGCGCGGGTGACATGACAGATGTGACGTCACAGCTCACTTGCCGTGCAAAATATATCCATTATTGCGCCCCCCCCCCCAAATAAAATACAAAAGTCTATTTTTAGAATTTTAGCATGGTGTAGTCTGGAAAGTACCCAAATGGCAAATTGCAAGTTTGTTGCATGTCAAAAAGTAAGCTAAATATTTTAACAGACACACATTCACAAATTTCCGTTTTATATATATAGATTAAATAAATAAACGTGTTGTCTCCAGAGGCAACACTACACATGCAAACAAAAACATGCTCTTTTAACACGTTCCTTCGGAGTGGGCAGGTAGGAACTTGGTTGGACAGCGCATTCGTGCACGACAGAAAACTCGCGGTCACATGACACACTTCAACCAATCCGGGAGCGTACATGTTTGGGAGGGGCTATGCACGACAAACAAATAATCCCTGGTGGGCAGTGTGGAACTGTTGTTCCTACCTGTAATAGACACATTGTCTACACCAAAGGGTTCTGTTTGGAGTTTGAACATCTTAACACATGTTTTATTGCAGAAAGGGTCTCTGTGAGACAAGGCACACCGTGACTGTCTCCATGGGATAAGGCGCATCGTGACTGTCTCCATGGGACACGGCGCACTGTGTAGCGGGTGGTGCGTGTCGGTGCGCAACCGGGCCACATCTTCTTTTTCCTGAATCGCGATCGTAATATTACCACACGAAGGTATTTTGTATCATGTTTTTATTTTTGTTGTCGTCACAGAATGGAGCACCGGCTCCTTTTTTTGCCACCGAAAGACACCAAGAGACCTGTATGCGACAAATGAACTTTGACCTAGGCCAAAGGTTTTGTCAATCCCGCACCTCCGATGAGCACGGTTGGCTACGTACGGTGCGAAAGAAGTGCTCTGGAGATGGATGGGCAGGGTGAATGAAGACGATCTGTGTTCACGGTTAAAGAGCGCTCCGTTCGTGGCTGCACGCTGCACGCCACAATTCTAACTCGTTTCTTTAAAACTGCTTGTTGTTGTGTTTACTTTGTCGTTCTTCCCTGCACCTCCGATTCGCACGGTTGGCTACGTACGGTGCGAAATAAGTTCAACATACATACATCCTGAGATCGCCGATTCTGATGGCACCAATGTTCTTTTTTCCGCAGCTCATATCATTGACCACCACAGCGAGTTAGCGGACTGCAATGCGAACACGGCCACCTGAGTTTGAGTCCCAGCCACGGCTACCGTCAACGGCGAGGGATAATATTTGAACCGATCCTGTATGGACCATCCCAGCCTTCACCAACCTGCACTGACCAGTGTGATGAATTATGGTCAAACCACGGCCGACAAGGTGTGGAGAAGCCATCATCCATCGCCAACGAGCCGTATGATATGAACCACACGCCCCCCACCCCCTAAATCCCCTCCTTCCCGTCCCTTCTAAGCCCTTATTTTAGTTCCTCTTTCCTTATCTTCTCCTCCCACTTTTAAACTAAAATCCACGCTCCTGTCCGCGGCCCTCACATAGGTGGGGCAGCGAGTCCAAATATTTCCTCTCAGTGTCCGCGGAGGTTCTGTGCTCCCTCCGTTGTTTGCGATCTGTGCTCTGTACTGGGCTCATGAGGAACTATTAACAAAAACCTCACCACAGCTGCAACCCACGTGGCAATAGCTGCTCTGGCAGGAACTATCACCAAGAGTCGAACCCAGGTTCTTTGAGATGACCAGACACTACATAAAGTCCAACACCCACTGTTCTCTCCGGATCTTGCACTCCCCCTCAAAACGAAGCCAAACTCCCCGTGGAAGTGGCCAAACACCACCTTCTGAAAAAGAGTCTTGAGACTCCATGCGGGTCTTCCGAGTTAAAGGGAATTACTTTTACCGATTTAAAACTTATTTCTTTGAAATAGATTTTTGTGTTTAGTTTGTTGTTCTTCACTCGCACCTCCGATTCGCACAGTTGGCTATATATGGTGCGAAAAAAGTTCAACATACAGCGAGGGAAAAACGTATTTGATCCCCTGCTGATTTTGCACGTTTTGCCCACTGACAAAGAAATTATCAGTCTATAATTTTAATGGTAGGTTTATTTGAACAGTGAGAGACAGAATAACAACAACAAAATCCAGAAAAACGCATGTCAAAAATGTTATAAATTGATTTGCATTTTAATGAGGGAAATAAGTATTTGATACCTTCTCAATCACAAAGATTTCTGGCTCCCAGGTGTCTTTTATACAGGTGTAGAGGTGATACGCGCTGGGATTAGGGATCGTATGCCAGCGCGTAATGATTGGCTGTGTAGGTGGTGACGCGCGCTGACGGTGGAGGATCAGGGGTCAGCGCGGGGTCGTGGGTTACGGGGTACTGATTGGCTGTGGGCCCGTGACGCGCTGAGAGGGAGTGATCGGGTGGCAGCGCGGTGTGATTGGTAGAGGAGTGTTAACACGCGCTGGGAAAACGGATCGTAGAGAGAGTGCGTCGTGATTGGTTCACTAGGGAACGATGCTCACGTCGACGTCCGGATCAGCTCCGTCTCTCGTGAGCAGGGGCTATAAAAGGGGATGCACACAGGCGTAAGGGCAGTATGTAACCAGCGAAGAATGAAGACGGGGATGAAGACCTAGGGCCCTGCGGTACCTAGTCCCGCTGTCCTAACGGGACCGGGACTCTGTGTAACCCAGAGGCGAGTGTAGTGTGTGTAGCCATAGGCATAGAGTCTACACGAGCCGAATGTATTGTGTGTAGCCAGAGGCATAGGGTCTACACGAGTCAAGTGTATTGTGTGTAGCCAGAGGCATAGGGTCTACACGAGTCAAGTGTATTGTGTGTAGCCAGAGGCATAGGGTCTACACGAGTCAAGTGTATTGGGTGTAGTCAGAACCATAGAGTCTACACGAGTTAAGTGGAGTGTGTAGTCGGAAGAAAGGAGACCACACGTTGTATTGTGAACGTAAAGATTTAATAAAAGTGTGTTACCCGTCAAGAAGTTCCTGCCGTCAATTCCAATACTTCAACTGGCGTCAGAAGTGAAACGGTCTTCCAAGCATGGAGACAAGGAAGACCCGTCGGACCCACGGGATTG